ACCTAGATCCCAGTCCAGTCAGTAATGTCGCAGCTGCTACAGAAGTTCCATTTTAAAAGAAGTGTGAACAGTTCCAAACGCCACAATTTATAAAACTGTTAAGTCCCCGGGATGTGGGGCTCAGTGATGGTAAAAATTGCTTTAAAAGTCCATTTGCAAAGGTCAGCACTCCTTCTTAAAAAGAAAAAAACATCTATAAAGTTTAGCCATGTCTGGTATTGATTATCAGCTCCCGGAAGGGTGCAATATTGCTTTTTTCCCCCTCACAGCAAAACATACTTTCCACAAAACCTTTTCTTTGCAAAAATGATTCATGCTCAACTCATAATAGCAGTAGCAGACACTAGACTAGTGAAATATTCTTGCTCTGTAAGACAAATATTTGGAAGCTGAACGTTTTTCAAAATATTTCTCCTTTGGTTAATTGGCTTTTTATGATTGTATGTGCTTATGTTGAACTATGGGCTCTAATTGAAGCGAAGGTTTGCTTTTTTCTGACGGCGCAAAAGAAAACTCGAGCGCTGACTTTAATGGCCAGGAGAGATGCTCAGTCTCTCATTTAATCTTGTACTGAGCTGTAACTCCAACATGGGAGGCCGTGAATAAATGAATCACAAATAGATTGTAGAAGAACTGGCATCTCCGTCTGTTTGACTTGGACCTGACATACTAAACGCCATGAGTGTATCAGCAATTTCTAGACGCAGATGAAAGAGTAGTGGAAATGCCTGAAGGTAAAGCATCACACACCAACAGCTACTGCTTTAAGGTTTCAGAGCTTAAACACTCACGGGGTAAGTGTGCTCTGGGCACACTGAAGGAAAATGCAGGAGAGATTAAAAAGGTTGTTGACTGACGGCCTAAATTTGAGGCTCTGACTCGTATGTAAAGAAAAACCCTGCATGCACATGTATATCTCACAATGTACACAGATTTTCAGTTTATTTCCAACCTGCCACTGTTCTGTAGCACACATACCAGCGACAGTCAGAACAGTGATCTAATTGGAATTAGCTTTTAGTATTGATTGTAATGTGGCGCTTAGTCGTTAAAGGAAATTAGCTGCTGCTAAGTCAAGCTTTTATTAAACAGCTGATGAGATATGACACAGAGGAGGCGTTGTTAGCACACGGATGACATCAACCTCTGCAACTCCACTCAACTCTATAAGAGTTGGTCTCCCCAGAGATGGCCGAGAAAAGCAGGAAAAGGATGTCTGGTGAGCTGCTAAATGAAAGCATATATTAGACCCGGTGCAAAAACTGTACTCTGTGGGAAGAAAGTTCAGGCTCGGTAATGGTGATTTACCGGCACAGTGTGTGTAATGTTCATTACTGTGAAGAACTGTTGGTTCTTCCCACTCACTTAAGACCCAAGGCTTTGTTTACACTTTCTTCAGAGAGTAGAGTGCATCTGGCAGAGGATTCCCAGAATTTATCTGATTTAGGGGGTGAAATAGCCGTGGAGATTTCTCAGGTACAGTCGGTACTTTGGAGACTGTCGTCCATCGCCATTTGCCTGCGCTGTGCATGAAAGACAAAAATGTCCGTAATTACAGCCGTAGATGTTGCTGCCATTATTAATCATGACAGCAACGGCACATGGATTGTACATCAACTGAGAAATTAGTGTTAACATGTAACCAAGGCAACGAGCAGAATGACGATGAGGACCGCATTGATTGTGTTTTAAAAACTAATGCTATGCTAACGCTGATCATACTGTTACACGTTATGTTACAGTACAACAAGAGTTAGGACACAACAAAAGAGAAAAATTAGTGCTCAGTGCTTTCTGCTCATTGGATAATAGTTTTACCTTCTCAGGCACAATAACATTGATACTTTTAAGTGCTTAAGATTCAGAATGATTAAGAAGCACATCAACAGACTGAGACTTTGGGCTCACATGACATGGACATGCCATCCATGGAAAGGTGAGCAGTCTGTAAACCATTCCCTTGTAGAAACCAACTCCGTTTTGGCCCCTGGAGAGACTGACATTTTGAAGAAAAACCCAGAATTGGTCGTTGTAGACCTCAAGAATATCAACAGCCTCGCTGATTACCAAATCTGGCATGTGCCCTTGTTTATGCCTGGCCTCATTCGCATGCTTTAGTGGGTCAAAAGTCTCCATCACACCACAGAACTTTCTATCAGTACTGTCAGCGGGATTAGTGAGAATGTCAAAATCACCAAAAAGGACAACTTGGTTTAAATAAATTGCAATTAGAGGAAGCAGTTCAGAGAAGTCATGGATAATACTTGCAGATAACCTTGGAGGCCTGTAGACACTTAAGAACAACATTTCTGGATTTCCTTTCAGCGCAACACACAGGTATTTAAATTAATCAAAATCACCACGTTTACTTTTGTCTCTTTAAATAAGGCAGCAGCAGCACCACCTTTCCCGCTTTGTACCGGAAACATTTAGTTAGTTAATGATTCATGGGGCTGATTCAGTTAGAGCTGGGACACTGTTAGTATTGTGTAACCAGGTTTCAGTTAAAAGCTTCAAATCCAAATTATGCTTAGTAATCGTCATTGATTAACAGCAGAAACATTGAACAAATTTACTGAACAACCTTTTGTAATGGGGAATCTTTACTAAATAATCTCATTTGGGTGGTGGAATTGATCTTTCTTTGTTACGCTGCCCAGGATCATCTTGTCTCTTGTCTTTGTCAGAGATCCGTGACAGATGGCGCAGGGGCGAGAACAGATTAGATTCTTGCAGACTTACTCCCGATTTTAATGAGATGAATTCCATCAGCCTGAGAAAGATGTCGGGTCCCAGAAAAAGTTGAAATAATCTATGAAGTGCTCTCCATGTGATGAGCACACGGCTAAAAGCCATGTGTTCATTCAGCCAGCAGTCTGCTGAACCTCTCAATTCTGCTTCCAATTGGTGGGAGAGGCCTACTGATAAACACCTCAGAGTCCAAGGGGCCCAGTCTCAAACAGCTAAGTGATATCTACTTTAAAAATGTCAGATTGCTGTTTCACAGTACTATTTGGCCCTGTGTGGAAGGTGATGCATTTTATATTTGGATGTTTGGCCAGGATATTTTTGTCATATTTTTCCCTCCCCTTGGAAGGAAGTATATTTAGGTGTTTTTTAAGTGTCAGTTTCAGAAAGCTTAAAGTTTAAACATGTTAATATAAATTAACATACCATGTTAACATAAACTGATTGATACTTTAACACATGGGGCTCTTCTGCATTTGCTCGAGGAATTGTAGACTCTCCAGTAGTCGTGCCTGGTTTTATGCCGGCCATCTAAATGTGTCATTAAACTACTATATTTCAACTCTGAATTGGGATCCCATCTATTTGGCCATGGAATGAAAATGTATTTTCTAACTAATGAATTATTTATGGGCTGTGTATCTGGAAATGACTGAGCCAAAGATTACACAGGCTATAACGGGATAAGAATTCAGTATATCTTTTTTTCTCTCTCACAAAACTAAAGCTTTTTCATGAAAAAAAAGCATAATTTTGATAAATTACAGTGCTTTGATGCCGAGCATCCTCCTTTTTGTCTTTTTCTCCTGAACACTCCTCTCAACATCTACAAACGCTAAGAGGAGAAGAAGAGTTTTTTTCTCCCCTCATTTTATTACCTGTGATTTATACAATTCTTTTTTGAGAAAGGTGACTTTTGTGAGGCCAGTGATAAATGAACTCTGACAATTGAAGTGAGTCTGCAGTTTCTAAAGCCCAACACAATTGATGAGGGAACACTCAAGGGTCGGGTTCTATTTTCCCTTTTTTTTTCTCTAAAAACAATGACGCTTTTGTTGTTTGTGCATTTTTTTTCTCTTCAAGAACTCCAAACCACAAATTTACCTCACAGCCAGAAAAATAACATTTTGCATCTTGAGTCTGTTATTCTTCTATTTTTTGCTGTAAATAAAAAACGACTTACAAATGCCTGCATAAGGAGAAAAAATAAATCGAGCAGCAACTGTTAAAAGTTGTGAGTAGCATTGTGCTATATGGTGGTTGAAGGACACATGAACAGAACTTTATTTATGTTTACCCTGAGCATGATCTTTTAATAATTTGACCCAGGCTCTAAAAGAAATCCACTATTGTGAGCATAATTTGCAGACTTGTATGTTTTGACTATGAAGCTGCTTCTGGGTATAAGTAGGGTCTCAATTAAATGGGTAAATGTGCAGTAAAATGTGTAGGTAAACCACAAAATACTGTCCACTGATGCAACAACGTGACTTTTCTTTTTTTATTTCAATTGAATTTCAGTTCAGTTTTATTCATAGCACCGAATTTCAGCGAATGTATTCTGAGGGCACCTCTGAGATGCACTCCAATTCAAGCCAGTTAGAGTCCAATAATTCAGATACAATCAAAAAACAGCAAATTAAATAGAAAATCGCTCCAAGTCATAGAGATTTCATGAAAAACGATTGTTCAATCAAGGAAATTTCCTAGTTGCACCGAAACGTCTCAGGCCAATTTCTGATTCTGAGCATGTGCTTTGTGTGTAAAGCTCCTGGCAGCAGTAGGGGGGGTGGTCATCTGCCTCCACCAACTGGACCTCTGGAGTACAATCAAAAGGGAGCATCAAGCTCCATAACAACAGACCACAGAGAAAAACAACTTGATGACAGTGAGTCAAGAGAGGTGCATCATTGCAGGTCCCCCAGCAATCTTGCACGGCAACATAACTATGGGCTGTTTCATGATAACCTAAACCATCCTTAACCATGGGTTTTATCTTAAATTATAATTTTTGCTATTACATGGACATTTAGAAAAAAAACTAATTAATTAGATCTTTTTCTCACAAAAAACCCCACATAAACAAAAGTATTTCAGTTGGAAGGTAGATCAGTTTGTTGTTTCTATGACCTTTTCATGTACATCAAAACAGGCCAATTGAGGTTAAGAAGTGGCTACCCTTTCTGGATGTATTTAATTTACATCAATATCATGAGTTGTGACTTATATCTGTGTTTGTCTGTTTCTTTCAGTGGGTGGTCAAGAATCTCGCGGTGTGCTGAGGAAAATCAGTGACATGCTGGAGGTGATTATGAAGAGAATGGATGCTCTGTCTAAACTGGGCAACACTACTGACACCCACAAGCTGGATGAGCTCAGCTCAGCCCTGGACAGGTAAAGTACAATGCTGGCATGCTTAGTTGATAACAATGGAATGTTTCCTGGACAGCTTGCAAAGGACACTTCTGCTTAAAACAAGAAGGTTTTGTTATCAGAGAAATCATCTCAGAAAAGTCTAGTCATTATTGCAATTCAAATATTCACATAAGACAGTGGCAACATAAATCACTGCGAGTTATTAAAAGAAAAAACGTTCACAAACCTAGCTGAAGCCACTTTTTGATATCATAACAGCGTGTAGTCACTTTAAAAAGAAATTTGACTATTTTCCTTCCAAGAAAAAATAAGATCAGTGTCTGTGACATTTTTGCATAAATTAACAACAGGCAGGTCTGAGATGGGGAAAAAACCCTCCAAGGCCAAGTACAGAGCCATGTTGCGTCCCACCAGAGTGGATCTAAGCTGTGCGCTGCCTTTTCTAAAATAATTTAAAAACTGCAATCCTTTTCCTGGGCAGCTGTAAAAGAAAGTCACTGTCATTAAAAAAAAAAAAAAAAAAAAAAAAGAGTAGAAAAAAGAAAAGCTCTGAGTTGTGTGCTCGGTGGTTTCCTTGGTAACAGACCTTCTCTCATGCTCTCACCTGCTCAGGGTTTATGAAGAATAGGCTCCCTTTGCTGTTAGATTTCCTCCTGAACAGCATGTCCATGGACCGGAAATGTTTGCCTCAGAAGGAGAGAGAGAAAAAATTTGAGGGTTCTGCATCATCACCAATAGCAATATAAAGATGTCGCACAAACATAAAAAGAAAAGACATTACAATATTATCGTTATTATAGTTAACAGTCTGTGTGGGAGTTACACAACAGTGACGCAACACAAATAATGAAAAATGAGCACCTGACCTCATTATGTACCTTTCAGAGGCCCGGGGGAAAATATTTATAGTGCAATAAGAATAAGTCTACATATTAACATTTCCGTCCCCAGTTTGATTACTGCACCTACAATTCAATTTTCTCTGCAGAATGCCCTGTAGATTTACTCCCAGCCACACAGATCTAACAATTGTCTAATTGGCCTCTCAGGGATTAAACTGGAAATGTTAGTGACAAAGGCCAAATGGTTTTACTTGGCAGAGAAAATATCTCACTGCGTGTGGCCTGGAGTAAAATACGAGGCCATGGTCGACCCATGAGATTACGGCGAGATTGTTGAGCAGGAACGTTTTTCCCGCCTGGTATAATGTTTAAGAAAAGGACTTAAATCCTAGTCCTTCTCACCAGCAGGTGATGGCCTATTCTCTGCCTGCAGTGCAGAATAGGATATGGTTTTGTGAGAAATATACTGTGTGTGTGTGGGTGAGAGAGAAGGGCGTATTGTGCTACTTTTTAACTGGTAATTAATTTTTTCTGACTTGCTGCATTGTAAACATGTAATAATAATATATGGATATCAATAGCCTCCTATTCGCTACATGTGAACTGAAAATAGGCTTCCGGATTATCCTCCGATATGCACTAAAGAACGATTAGATTGCTCTCCCCTGGTACACACACACTCGCTTGAACATGCAGTGATAAATGTGGCTTTTGAAATATCCGGCTTTTACTGCTTGATCTGCATCCGCCTGTGAGCCTCAGCTCCATTAGTTATTTTGTGAATTTACTGGGTTAACATATTCTGAGATGGTTAATGAGCAATATAAATTTCCAGAACCATACAAGAGTGCTTATTAAAATAATTCTTTAAAGTGTTTTTTTGTTGTAATATTGCAATGAGATGCCGTACAGATTGTTCCGTCAAAAATTACTAGTTTAACACAGGGAGCACACGTTATTAAAGTTGTGCACTAATGTGCAAAAGTGTAAGACCAGGATTTACAGCATATGAAGTGTTAGAAAACCTGTTTGAAATATATTGAGCTCAGAAAATCCTACCTCCCAGTGCACACATTACCTTTCATCTGGTCATAAGTGTTCTTGTAAATTCTCCCTGCAACTCAAATCTAGTTACTGAAACAAGCTCAAGTGAAAATACATCTTTCATGCTGAATATTTCATTTGGTAAAATATCACAACAATCAGAATTTCTGGGATAATATTCATCCCTGAAACTATTACTGACTTAAGTAATATAAAATGAATTCATTAAATCAATTTATAATTAGGAGGGGATATCAAATATTTGCCATCTTGAGCTCTTGGAATGCAAAATATCTTTGTTTTTCATATTGAAAGTGTCAGCACGCCGGTGATGATGAATAATTTCATCTCAATGGAATCCAGATGGAGGAAAAAAATGACAGATCCAGCAGCTGTCCTTGTGCCCAGAGCTGAGCAGATTAGTCAGTTAGCAATTACTTGAATAATGAAGTAAATGAATGAATAGTTTTTCAAAAGTAGATCTGCTGCTTCAAAGCTGCTGTAGAGCAAATTTAGCAACTGTATTCCGCTTGTTACATGAGAGCTTTAAGGAGTTGCATCAATTTGAAGCATATTTGATTTTTTTTTTTAAATCTGTCTTCCATTTGAGGATCTGAGATGATTACACAAACAAAAGCAGAAATATCCTCACTGGCTCAACTGAACTTGTGCTGTTTGATTAATGTCTTAAAAAATAGCAAATAATAAGATACTTGTCTTATTTAACTTATTTATTTATCGAAGATGTCCAACGTAATTGCTAAAATGCAACAAAGAATCATTCCATTTGCGAAAAACACAAACACAAAATTATTTGCATCATTCGATCATTTTGTTGCAGATGCTTTGAAGCCTTGAGAAGTTTCCTCTTGTCTCTTGAACCTGTCAGTTGGTTGTTTCGGGATCTTTTCCATTTCACGGCTTCTGCTGTGCTTTAGGGTTTACTCCTGCTAAAAATCCAAGACCTTGCAGTCAGTTGAGTCTTCCCAGCACTTGTTTCCTGTTTCAACTTAGAAACACCCCAGTAAAACGAACTGTATAAATGAATAATGATTCTAATTATGATTCATTCAGTTCCTGCAAAGGCAGCACAGAAACCCCACAATCCACAGCCCTTTGTATAGTTGTTTGCTTTTCATCATCGGTGGCCCATCATCACCGGCAAATTAAAGTAGAAGCATCATTCTTTAAAGATTTATACCTCCTCTGTCCACACAACATTACATCTTAGAGAGACTGTGACTTTTCTATGAAAGTTATTAAGAGCTGTGATTCAGCTCATTCTGTGTTTTTAGTGATATTTTTCTGTATACATGAACAAATTATTTGGTTCCTATTTGGTCCTTTTCAGCAGAATATTCTTTGCTTACTAAACAAGGCAAAGTGTCAGTATTAATTTTTCTTTTTGATAAGTGATTCACAGTGAAAATGTCCTCTTCTGCTCTGTACAGAACTTGAGGGGAGGAGAAACAAGAACAGCTGGAGGAGCATTGTTTCCTCTTTCCTTTTTACGATGCTTAACTGCAATCCCTAAAGGGATACGAGGATTTGAGTCATCCTAACACGGTTGTGTGTTTCTCGGTGTGATATGAATGATCAGGATTCAGCCTGCGGGACTGGTGGAGCGGATCCAAGCCATCGCCCAGAACATGTCCGACATGGCGGTGAGGGTGGAGCAGATCCTGCAGCGCAGCATCGCCAGCAATCGAGGTGTGTTTCCAGACGCACGCAGCCGCACACAGAAAACTACCCGCAGCTTTCTCTCACACACACACACACACCTGGTGAATAAAAAAATGCAGCCGTAACCTGTTTGACGCATCACCCAGTCTGTCTCGGATACATCAAACCCCTCTGCTCACACGTTGTAAGACAGACTGTTAAACCCGAAGGCAGCTGGAACACTTGAATGCACAATCCCCGTTAAATTGCGTATCCGTTGGCTGATCATGTAGAACGTGATAGACATTATTGGCCGTATGTTGTCCGTTCGAGAAGTTCCTCGTGCAAGGTTGAGGGGGCTCGGATGAAGCGGCGCCGACATCCTTGCTGTTGCCAAATCAAACAGCCAGTGCTCTGCTGTTGGACTTTTAAGTCACAATGATGAATTACAGCTTTGTTAATGGGATCTAGGTCTTGTCGGCTTTCTTTTATAACCTTCAGCGTCGGTTACTTTCTTTCTGGACACAGAATGAAAAATGCATTTCTGTTCACCATTCAGATCCCCCTCTATCCCCTGTATGCACTTGACTGAACCCAATTTAGCACCCTGTCTCATTAGAATGTGTTCAGATATGTATGTATCGTTTTCTGGCAAAATATCTGACAGTAATTTAGCGAGGCAGATCAAATCAACTATAGGTTCTGACAGCTACAGGTATAGGATAATTTTGTATAGGAAACAGTATGTGTTATCATGCTAATCAGATGGATGGCTGATAATCATTTGTCTGTGATTGTGCCCTTTGACGTGTGGCAGGATGCTGGTGGAGGAGCTGCAACTGCTCCTTTAATTAGGTGTACCACTGCCGGGCTTCAAGATGAAGCGAAGAAAAAGAAAAGGAGTGGAGGAGGGAGGGAACCAGTTGATTAACAGAAAGAGGCAGGAAAAGATTTGAAGTCAGGAAAGGGGAGGCAAGAGATAGGAGGAAGATTATTATTTTTATGATTCACACTAATGTAGTCCTTGTATAGTAATTCCTGTGAATGAGCTGGTCAAAGGCTTGGTCATTCAGCATGGGAGATCAGGATTTTACACAAGCTTGTTATCTCGCCTTATTCCAAAGGCAAAAGATATACTAGCTGTCAAGATAAAGACAAAAGCATAGCGAGAGGACCATACTATATTACTGTTAAGGGTATTTATGAGAGATTTATTATTCCATCAAGACCTGCGGCCCTTCCAGTTTTTCAGATTTTGTCATCTTTCAGATTCATCCTAGATTGGATCTACACTTTTATTTTCTTCATGCATAACCTTAACTTAATGTGTTCATTTAATCCTCTAACATGTCTATATAGCATAATGTGTAAATATCATGGAGAATAATATTTGTTCGCAAGATACAAAACCTGGATAATTGGCTGAATTAGCTGATGATAAAAACGACTTCTGCAAATATATAGTGTCCAACAAAACAGCCCATTGTTTTAATCTGTTTGTCTTCTATGTACTCTGTGAAAAATGCCAGCGATGCAGTTTTCATTCCTCGTTGCCAATTTATGCGCCTGTCTAAAGAGTGTTGTCTTTTGTAAGTGATAAACAAGCTATAATAAATCAATTTTTTTCTTTCCAGTTAAGGATGGGGCTTTCGGGCAGTGTGAGATTCCCAAGGACCCTCGTTATCCGGACTGCAACAGCAAGATGGATGTAAGTCTTCATGTCTTACTTTCGGTGTAAACAGTTTCGCACAGATAGCAATCGTCCTTTAGTTTCATCTTCGGTGACTTACCTCGGCACCGTTGCAACATAAATTTCACGAGATAAGACCACATTTAAAGACTCTGCTTGGAACAATAAGGCGGGGAAAATTGTAATGGATTGCATCAAATAAAAGCACACTTTGCCATAAAATGGAGTACAAGGTGAGTACACTGTACATTTTGCTGTATGGAATTTCATTCAGCTCAGTTTTATTTATATAGTGCCAAATAAGAAGCAATTTAATGTTGCTCAAGCCACCTGTTCTTACACGGCTGAATAGTTTAGGATGGGAAACATTAAACCAAATAAAATAACTGATGCTCCACCAAATTAAGGATGAAATGAAGCCAAGATGTTGTTTTTTGTCATTATTGTAATAATGCCCTCAGTATTCACATCATGAAAACAACAGATTGGTTATTTGCTTTCCAGTGGATGCGTGCACGATGGACCTCGGACCCTTGCTATGCCTTTTACGGCGTCGACGGCTCTGATTGCTCCTTTCTCATATACCTGAGTGAGGTGGAGTGGTTCTGCCCCCCGCTGGCCTGGAGGAACCAAACCACCACACCGACCCTGACTCCTCTCCCCAAGAAACAGGTAACGCAGAGCAACCGCACCATTGGTTTTACATCCCCAATAAAACAGCTAGCTGGAGAGGATAAATGGCAACGGAGCGCAGGCTGACGGTGTCCTTTGGAGGGAAGCCATTTGCCTGCTAATGCAGAGCCGTTTGTTTAGTCCACAGGCTCTGAAAACGCAGTCCTATCCTCTCTGTGAGAGATCATGCTGAGCTCCTAAACAAGTGGCTTTCAGCTGTTTGTTTTTTTTTTTTTTAGGGTGTGCAATTTAGGAGGAAATTCGGGAGGTAAATGGGGACCTTTTATGTTGGAAAAAAACAGTTTATTGACAGGTGACGCAAACAATCGGATATCTCTAATGTGGAAGCAAATTTTGTGAGTCCTCTCCACATCCCTAAAGAAAAGTATAAAGTAAGTGAAACTCTGGAAGGAATAGGAAAAGGTTTATTACCCATTTGAGAAGAAAATGAATTTATAGAATGACACAGGATTAAAATAAACGTTATATTTAGAATTCTAAATCCCCCAAGTCAAAAGGGACTCACTGGCCATGTTTGTTGATCAGCGGCATCCAGAAACGTCCGCCAGCTGTACATTTTCCTCTCACCGCTGTGATTTTCCGCTTCATTTGGTATTTTTATTTCCAGCATCAACACACGATGCACTCGACTCCCAGCCACTGTGAGAGGTCTCCTCCAACATGCGCCTCCGTCTCTCTGCTCTTCCCCGCTTTTTCCCCCAGAGTTATGTACAGCTGGCGTGATGGGCCCTGACGTGAATTATCCCTGCAGCCCTGCCTTCTGCTCTAATTGCCAGCGTGTATTCACTAGGACTAATATCAAGGCTTCCCTTAGGTACTCTGCATCTTGCAGTGCTGCACACGCGCCTCTCTTTAGAGCAATAATATATCTGCAATGCATGAGCCCAGCACAGCCCCGGCACACACGTGGATCTGCTCTCTCGCTGTTAGTGCATGTGACCTTCAGCAGTATAGACAGTTTTCATTAGCAGGGGGTCCAAGTTTGTTTTATTTTCCGCACAGCCCACGCCGATTATTAGTCACATACAGATATTGCGCCGTGATGCAGTGATTACACTTAGCAAAGGGGAGAAAATGTGAACAGACAATTTATGAGATGAATCCTGATTCCCTCAGGCAACCAGTCAGAGAGGCTTTGCCCTGAGGGACAGGCAGATAACTCCCCGTGATGGGCTGTCTGCGCTTTGTACTATTTTAACCACCTCCATTAAAAATAGTTCCCCTCGCAGAGAACACACTCATAATGTTTGCTGTTAGTGTTTGAGCATTGCTCTTGTTCTGCTTCGGGCCAAATTCTAAACCTCCCGTTTCTCATCGGAAAAAAAGCAGAGGCAGGCATGGATTAGGGACAGGCTCTTATCTCCAATTTTTGCTCTTATTAGTATGATGTGTTCCATTTATTTAGGCCGTTTTTATTCTGATGCCTTAAAAAGCAATCAGTAAACATTTTCACCTGATTTTCAAGCAAGTGTATTTACATCTATGTGTGTCCTTTGTTATATTGGCTTTGTTTGTTGTAATATCATTCCCATACTGCATTTCACTGCGCTTGCTTCCTTAAAAAAAAAAAAAAAACCGTGGTCAGATTGATTGAATTGGCACACTTTTGTTCTTAGCAAGAGCTTACATTGGGAATTTTGTGCGAACAAAGATGTAACAGTGGAATGGTCTGACCAGTAGTGGTTGAGAGTGATTGATGCTGCATTCTCAAATCACAGAAGTATCACGTCAGAATTTACCATTTGTGAGTTCTACGAGAACCAATGGGATTTTCACACAGCCGCGCACTGACCAGCTAATTTATCCTTATCAGTGTTGGTGGATAGCAACACATGGCACACACAAACACTGGAGCCTCTCTCTGACTAAGTGGGAAAGTACTGTGAGAAGGTGTTAAAGCTGATGCTTAATCATGTAAATTTATAAATGACATTCGAAATATTTTAAATGAATGGAGCGGAAATCAAACAATGTGAGGTAAAAAGCTGTTAAAGAAATGCATGAAATGATTTAATTTCTACAGGATATGCTTTAATCAAAAGCATTTCCTATCATCATTCCTTTGTGAAGATATATTTTAATTATTATTATTATTTTTTTTTTACACAAGGACTCTCTTAAACTGAAATTGAAAAGCAGCTTGTGAACAGACTCTGTCAGAGGTGGTCTGCTCTCACCCTTTGATTCCGTCCTGCTTTCTATCTCCTGTCATCCAGGCTGTTTTCCACTCAGACGTGGGGTCTCTGCTGGAGCAGGTGGGCACCGGGAAGGAATCTCTGAGCTTCATGAAGAGACGCATACGCAGGCTGGCAGCGCAGTGGGCCTCCGCTGCTCGCCGGCTGGATGACAAGCTCCGCAGCCGCTGGAGGGAGCAGAAAAGGGTGAATTTGAATTTTCAAATGCGCACACCAAACATTTTACACACACTGGGAGGTGAATGCAAAGGATGCCAAGTCCGTAGGACGCCCTAGAGACGCATTTCTCTTTTATACTTCCTGGGACTCGCATCATTTTATGTAAATCCATCTGGTGGGTCATTAAAGGAAAATAATGTTTGGATCAAACCCTCGTGATAAAGTCAGACAGGTCTTTCATGCCCACCAGCTATGCCCGTCTAAGTCGCCAGAACATCTGTGACATTTTGTTGGACTGAAATTTCCCCCTCTTATCTTCGGCCACCTGTTGTGAATTCGACGACGCAGAGTTAACAGCATTAATGGATAATGACAGAAAGGAACATCTCGCAGGCATTTATTGGCCGGCACGCACTTTCACCGCCGGTATTAGCTGGAACAAACCCACCAAGTGTCAGAAAAGAGCTTTGCCTGCAGGAATACATGCCGGATGTGTCTGATGGGTCTGATGAAGGCTGTGACATTAAATCTTTGCTTGCATGTATTCAAACCCGCACAGAACGATTCGACCTTTTTTGGGTAATAAACACTAAAACAGTGTTTTCCTCACTCACAAGACTCTTTTGTATTCACACTATTTTTTCCTTCTGTCCTTGAGGTGTGTCCTTTTTCAGCTTAAAAATGAATTGACGGCAGGAGTTAAACATCTAATAAAGAGATTAATGTGAATGGTGGTTTCATTTCCACTTCTGATGAAAACAGAGAAGATTATTTCTGTTTATGTTATTCTGTCCAAACTGACTTGCATTATTAATACGATGGAGTTCAGTTCTTCAAGACCTAGTTACTGATATGTGGAGCTCTCAGTGGAAATTTGTGTACAGCAGAAAAGAGGCTCAAACTGTTAAGAAGGGAAGGACTTAGTTCAGAGCTTTACTGTAAATGTGCCGAAAGTATGTGGCCAGCCAGTGTGGGTTTGCGTGTTTTCAGTTGAATAAATCTAAGTTTGTTCTGTTAATAGCATTTTTCCCAAATGCCAGCTCCTTCCCCACTGGGGGTGTTGGCTTTGTTTGCTGTAATGGTTTGTTTGACAGTAATGGTTACTGTCCATTAGCTCAACCCTGCAGGGTTTGCTCCATTGCTCAAACGCTGAGTTCTGTGGAGGAAACAGAAAGGAAGTGATTTTTGTGGAAGAGAGATGTTTTTCCGACTGCCCAGACTGTCTCTGTTTATCTCTTTTACTTAGTCCCCGGCTGTTCCCCGTACACATAGTATGTGGTGTTTTCCTTTTTTATTATTTTTCTCATTTGAACATCTAGCTTTCTCTTAGACTTCTCTCTGATTTCAGCCTCTTACATTAAACTTGAAATCAGTTTAGCCAGCTGGAATCTCTTTTTTAAAATCCCATCTGACAAAATGCGCGTCTTGTTTTGCCCCCAAGCTCCATGACGGAGTGACGAAACAAAGGCTCTGTCGGGAGAAGCGCATCGCAATTGCAATCCACACAATTTATTAACTGATCAGCTGCTGCATATTTAACAGCAGATATACATAATAAGATAAATGTCACTTCACTCCATTCAGATTATGCTTGCAGGGTCTACATTTATCAGTTCCAACGCCCATAATCTTCATCACTCTGGGGAATGTGACCATGTTTGTTTACTTAGTCTGAAAATCCTGAGCGCCTGCTTGTATTTACCTGCCGCCAACAATTCAGCATCTTATATACCTAACCAAACACCCAAAATTCCTCTAAGCACATCCAGCTTAAATTAAAATGTAGGATCGGAACTCAAGTAGCCTGCCATCAATTCAGGAGGCCAGTCAGCTGATGGCAGGGGTAGATACCAGAAAAGCTGTCTAATTTGTTATTTAACCTATGTGCACACCTTTCTGTGTGCATCATTTTATCACTTTACAATAGTGAAGGATGTGTTGCTCATGTGGTTTTGTGCTCTAGTCTGTTAAGTAGCAGAGAAGGGAACATTTTAACTGGCAGAACCAAAATAAGATGTAAGGTAGTAGACATTTTAAATAGTTCTTGAAAGGTTTTCTGAGACAAAAGGTAATGCAGGAGTTAAAAATTGAAAACAACTGCCACCATCTGTTGAGATTTCTAATTTCATTAATAATTTAACAGCCTGGGAATTATATCCTTCCCCATCAGCAATTAAACTGCTCATGTATCGTTCTGCATGTCAATTAGCACTTCACGGGTCAGGTTTTGTTTCGGCTTCATGCACAGTTAATAGCATTTTCCAGGAATTACATTGTCGTGAATATGGCTTTACTGTGCTGCTGTTGCATTCATTAAATAGTTGATTATAAAAAATAATAAAAAAATCCTGACAACACTGATCCGTGGTAAAGAAAAAAAATTGAATTCATTCACACATAAATCCTTTGAAGAGGCTGTGAAAATTGCTTTTTATACCACCTCAGTCATTCAGCTCACAAAGCTGGAGATTTACTGTATAAAAGTGGAAAATTGATGGAAAAGAATGGCCTAACCTTTCTGCGTAGCAAAACCCTGTACAACGCATTACAAAACACTCAAATGTGTTCTCACTTTCCTTGCCTTGGCTTTTTGCTTTTTTGCTTTTGTACTCAGATTCTAGTCCACGTTGGCTTTCTGACAGAGGAGTCTGGGGATGTTTTCAGTCCCAAGGTGCTGAAGGGGGGTCCTCTGGGGGAGATGGTGCAATGGGCGGACATTCTCACAGCGCTCCATGTGCTCGGGCACAACGTCAAGATCTCCGTCTCTCTCAAAGAGCTGCACGGGTAAGCTGTAATTAAAGTTCTTCTTATTTTTTTGTCTCGTTCCGTTTTTCATTCAAATCATATCTATTCACCGACGTCTTCTCAGCCGTTTCGCTGAGTGTAAGTGCTTTGTTGCTCACCCTTGATGCTCTGTAAGTGATAAGCAGGCTAACTGGAGTGCTCTTGCCCACACAGTGTTTTCCTCGGACACGCACACACACACGTACAGATAAACTCTTCCACTGCAGAATGCTGTTAAAGCCCGAGGGCTGCTGTTCAGCCTCTGCACCTCCTTACCGCTGAGGCTCACTGACCCCTGAGTGAAAACAGGCTTGTCACCCATCATTACGAACACGAGCGCTAATGCCAGTGGACACGCATGCATATATACACAAAGGCTCCCAGTCAGACAAACAAACAGAGTTGTTTTTTTTTTTTTTATATAAGGAAAAATACTCTATTGATTGTCGCACAGAGAGAGGTGCAAAGTGAGCTGAGTTCAGGGCACAGATCCGTCCAGTTTTGGCTCGGACATATTTCAGAGCTGTCCTGACTTCACAGTGGCTGATCAGGAAAATGACTGTGTACATGAGAGGATTAGCTGTCAGTTCCTCGTTTTTTTTCCCCCTCATTCTTTTACCAATGACGCTGGAGCAGACATGCTGGTGATAATGTGCTCCGGTTATTGAGCACTTTATCCAGTGCTGTAAGGAAGAGGCCCGGGCATTGATGAGTTAGCGCTGCCCTTTGATCTTAAATTTCAGGCCGCGAAAAAAAAGCTGCTTTGATAAGGCCAGCCTAGGGAGATCAGTGAGGTGGGGAAGCCGCAGTGGGAAAACTTCTGCTGCCTGTGCCATTATTTACCCCGCTAATTGGTGTCATGGTGTATTGAACCACTGCAGCCTGCTGCCTCCATTTGGAGCACCATAAAAAATGGTAAGAAAATAGAAGTTTACAAAGAGTCGCCCAAAGTCAAAATGGCAAAGATTTGAGTTCATCCTTCTAGACACCTGAAAATATGTACTTTTTAACACAGTGCGTGCAAAATATGTGTACATTTTTGTGCCTGGTGCAGTGTAAAATACTTGGGATGTTACTTTTGGGTATTAATATAGGGGGCACAGCATCACATTAAGGCTGATATTAGATCTACTCGTAACCAAATGAAATTTTCAGCCTCAGAGAAAATATAATGGGTGGCTGAAAATACAGCAAAATGATTCTCATCAGATTGTGACTACGTTTCATTACCCCAAAGTCCAACTTAGTGTACATATCTGCATCCTCTTTCATGGCCTTCTTTAGCCTCTTAATGACAGATGCTGAACATCCAAAAATCACCTTTCTGTGATTATGAATGAGCAAGACGAGGGACCATTTCTCTATATCCTTACTCTTACTCTCCCACACGGCATTAAATTGATAGATCGTTATGTGGGTTGTGCTCCCACAGATTCCCCCAGGCTGGTATCTTTTTACATTTTCCTACCCTACACCTAGGCTTTGGAAAGGAGCTTAATATCACTGGATGGCCTGTTTTTGATCTGATTTAGACAGGATTGTTGATGTGTCCAGCATTCCCTCAAAGAAAAATATTAGCCACGCTGGGAATTTAGTTGCAGTGGGAGTCAAGCTGTTTTGTTGCTTCACATAATTTCCTCTGATTGGTAACATTCATTCTCTCAGGTAGCTTCACTTAATCACTTCAGCTAGCATCACCCCTTTAATGTCCTGCTCAGACAAATTGGTTATCCACACATGTAACATCTTCAGCCAAATGTGATTCCCTGTTGAAAGATCCCTGTTTACTCTCCTTATGGATGCCACAAAAGTATTTTTCTCCTTTCCTTTCCACACACTGTTACTCACAGCTTGACTGATCACCCCCCTTGAGCGGTTGTGGTTGACTTTTTCGACTGTGTGGAAAAGCTTTTTCATACATCAGGCCCACTTATCTTGTCTGCTATTTATTTAATTCAGATATACAGATTATATATAGCTTTTATTTTTCAAAGGAGAAAGAATGACAATGAGTGGCAGCAGGTCTTCATGTAATAGATGGAGATTTTTATCAAGCAGCACAGATGGGCTTGTACTTGATCAAAGATGCTGGATGTTTGTGTCTCCTGGCAGGATGGGAATCATTTCTCACCGTAGCAGTTTAAGCTGATTCTTTTGACCAGAATATATTCAGTACTGAATGGGGTGTGAAGGAATAATGCACAGGGACTTTTTTTCAGAATACTCATACCTTACCTGAC